CCCAGCAATGGATTGTAAGCTGTGGTATATTTATACCATGGAATATTATTCAGCCATCAAAAAACAATGGAGATTTTACAGCATTTGTACTAACCTGGATGGAGGTGGAACACATTATTCTTAGTGAAGCATCACAGGAATGGAGAAGAAAGAATTCCCGGTATTCAACTTTGATATAAAGACAATTAATGACAATTAATGACACAGTGGGGCATGAGGGAAGGGGATACTGGACAGAGAAGGAGGAAGGGGGTGTGGACAAGGAAAAGAAAGAAATAAATTAGTGACTAATTCTTACATGAATTGTGTATTTAATTTGGACCAAAGTACATTACTTAAACATTAATTTTTAATTCAACATGTTAATATGTTGTTTATCATATTGTATCCTCATTTATAAGTGAAATATGTTTGTAATTTCCTCCTTATAATATTTTCTCCAATTTTTATATCACGTGTATCTAGATTAAGTAGAATGGTTTTGAAGTATTTCTTTTTCTATTCTATAAGATTCGGCATGATCTGTTTTTATGAAATTATCTGTTACTTTCATTTGTAAATGTTAGTTGTCTATTTTTTTGAGACTTTGGAAAAAACAAAATAATAAGAAGAAGTTAACTGATCAAAGTATTCTATAATAGACATACTTCTATCTGACAATGTGAATGTTACTTTCTTTGCATTATTATTATTGCTTAATATTTTGTTGCAGCAATTTTCTGATTTCTTTTCTGAATGGATTTATCTTCATTCATTCTTTGTGAGGTTTTTGTTCTCAGTCCTTATGTTAAATATCGTCATTGTCATTAAATTTAGCCTTTTTAATTCTGCAAAGGCAAAAGTAGAAACCTAATATACACATGTATAAGAAAAATTAATAATAAAAAAAAGAACTGAAACAGGACCTGTGCATTTCAGCACTTATAAAACTTGACTTACAATGGATAAAAGATTTAAACCTAAGACATGAAATGATAAAAACTTGAGAAGAAAGTGTGGGAAAAACTGTTGATTATGTTGGCCTGGGGAAAGATTTTATGAAGAAGACTACCTTGATTGGCAGTCACAGGAACAACAAAAATAAATAAATGGGATTTATTCAAGCTAAAGAGGATTCTACACAGCTAAGAACACAACAGTGAAAGCAAACAAACAACTTTCAGAATGGGAAAAGATACTCGCATGTTACACATCTGATAATGGGCTAATAACAAGCATCCACAGAGAATTCAAACAAATCAACAAAAAAGAGCAGTCTTATGTATAGGATGGGCAAGAGACCTGAAGAGAACTTTCTGCGAAGAAGATGGATGAATGGCCAACAAATTCTAATCTTGTATTGATTAGAAAAATTCTAATCTTCCCTAGTTATCAGAGAAATGCAAATAAATGCACTCTGAGATATCACCTAACCCCAGTGAAGATAGCCCACATCACAAAGTCCCAAAGCTACAGATGCTGACATGGCTGTGGAGAGAAGGGAACACTTTTACACTGTTGATGGGATTCAAACTAATGTAACTTCTTTGGAAAGAAGTATGAAAAATCCTTCAAGACCTAAAAGTAGACCTTTCATTTGACCCCACAATCCCGTCACTAGGTATTTATCCAGGAGAAAAGAAAATCATTTTACCATAAGGACATTTGTAGTAGAATGTTTATTGCAGCTTAATTTATAATTGCCAAGATATGGAATCAACCCTAGTTCCTGTCACCCACTGAAGGGATTAACAAACTGTGGTATATGTATACAATGGTATACTATGGAGTCTTTACATCTTTTGTATTAACCTGGATGGAGTTGAAGAATATTCTTCTTAGTAAAGTATCACCAGAATGGAAAAAAAAAGAAGTATACAATGGACTCAATACTAATATGAAACTAGTAGATGAACTGCACACCCACACAAGAGGAAATCTTAATTTAATTCAAGTGAGGCAAGCTCTCCCCTAATGGGCACAATGTAGGGGTATAATGCTCTTGAGTGAAGGACTCAACTACAACTTGGACTTTACCTAACAAACACAGAAAATGTAACTTGATCTTTTGTACCTTCATATTAATCTGAAATTTAAAGAAAGGAAAATAGTGTTGATAGACTTGTTTGATGTAGAGTTTCTGCAAACCTTCAATTGGTAAAAAACACAGCCTGCAAAGTACAGTAAAGTGAAGTGCAATTAAACAATATATGTCTGTACTTAATATATAATAAGCACTTCTTCATTTATTATTTCTCACAAAAGAATGTAATTTTAACTCATAGCATATTATTTAACTTAAAAATAAACATTAGGTTAATGGTTTTATAACGTTCTTTTTTTAAATTAAATGATAGCTGTATACATTAATGCAAACATGGGGTACAGTGTAGTGTTTTCATATACATTTTTAAATACTTTCATCAAGCTGGTTCACATAAATTTCATGTCATTTGCATAGTCATTGTGTCAAAACATTTATATTCTTATATTCTAGTTCTAGAAAAGTTCACTTTTTCCCTTGTTAGACAGAAATATAGGTGATCTTTCCGGTCACCCTCCCACCACCCAGCCACCCTTCTCCCCTCCCCTTCCCCACACCCTCCCCATATTCTTGGGCTAGAATTAAGTTGTTTCTTTCATTTGAGAAGTATATATTAGTTTCATAGAAGGGCTGTGTACATTGGATACTTTTTCTTCCATTCCTGTGATACTTTGCTAAGAAGAACATTTTCCAGTTCCATCCATGTGAACATGAAGGAGGTAAAGTCATCGTTTTTCTTTATGGCTGCATAGTATTCCATGGTGTACATATACCACAGTTTATTGATCCATTCATGGATCGATGGGCACTTGGGCTTCTTGCATGACCTGGCAATTATGAATTGTGCTGCAATAAACATTCTGATACAAATATCTTTATTGTAATGTGATTTTTTATCTTCTGGGTATATACCTAATAGTGGAATTGTAGGATCAAATGGCAGGTTTTATAATGTTCAAACAAGGAATGCGTGTGTGTGTGTGTCTTTGTTATTAAACATTCAATCTTGTGGCTCATGTCTGTAATCCTAGCACTCTGGGAGGCCAAGGAGAGTGAATGCCTTGAGTTTAGGAGTTCAAGAACAACAATACCTTGTCTCTACTGAAAAAAGAAAAATTAGCCAGGTTTGGTAGTGGGCACCTATAGTCCCCACTACTTGGAAGGCTGAGGCAAGAGTATCTCTTAAGCTTAAGAGTTTGAGGTTGCTGTGAGTTATGATGACACCATGGCACTCTACCCAGGGTGACTGAGTGAGACTCTGTCTTAAATAATAAAACAAAACAGAAAACATTTAATCTCTTTATTTTATCACTTTTGGACATTATATCCTATAATATGTACTCTGACCACATCGTTTCTCATTTTCTTACCCTAGAAAATGAAAATTAAGGTTCAGAATATGAAAATTTTAAGGCTCTGGGAATATACCATCAAATTTCATTTCCCAAATGTACCAATTTTTATTCCTGTGAAAGTTAAGCCAATTATGGAGTTAGTGGGAATAGTCTGTAATACTACTCTCCCATGTAACCAACTATAGAGTTTAGTGGTCCTTGAGGCCACTATCAAGGATGATTCAGTAGAAGGACACACAGAACTCATTGAAAGCTGAGTAAGGAAAGGTAATACACACTAGGAATAGAAAAAATGTAAGCTAAAATTCACTCCTAGTTACTCAATTAGAGTTTATTATAGAGAAAAGATACATATTACCTTTTGCTCATTTTCAGCCACCAAGCTTCTGGTAGTGACCATTGGAAGAGTATTGACTTTATAGACCCCTGTAGCAAAACATGAGCCTGATTGTTTTTACCGCCTTTCTCTTCTCTTTGTCGCTGTGAAGGGGGTGTTCCTCAACAGTGCTGTCGTTCTGCTTGCTACGAGCCTGTGTCAGGCCCTGTGTCTCCAGCCTGATGGGAGCTGCACTGGAGCAGGAACTCAATCTGAATCATCCTACTGGAAAGTGCATAAAATCAGCTCTGGGATTTGCATGTTTGAAAGTGTGAAAAATGCACAGAAGTATCTAAGGATCAAGGATGGCCGGTGTGATGGAACAGTAAGCATCTGCTCTTATTTCTCTCAGCAAATGTTTAAGACACTTGCCAGTAATCAGCCTGAGGATAGCACTTTCTGAGTGATTTTTGGAAATTGGGTGTTAGATGTGGTAGTTCCCCCTTGACTGGTGTTTATAATAAGTGAGGAGGGTCGTGATATGCCTAGTATAAGAGAGGGATCTCGATTCTACAGACTGCACTTCTGAAACACAATGTGCATACAGATCACCTGGGAACTGTGTTAGAAAGCAGATTCTGATTCTCAAAGTCTGGTGTGGGACCTGAGTGTCTGCATTTCTCACAAGCTCTCAGCTATTGCTGCTGCAGCTCATCTGCGGCAACACTATGAGAACTAAGGTGCTAGAAAGTTCTAGCTCAACAGTGAGTGGTTCCTTACTACATCTTTTGGTGCCAAAATTTCCATCATTGGAACCCTTGTACTTTGACTAAGGAAGTAATTTTAAATATTAGTGTTTTTCTCTTTACCATCTTGAGCTTTAGGAGGGTATTTGGAAGGTAACTAATGTGATAGCTTTTGTATCTTTATAATCTTTCTACGGGGTGAGGGGCCCATAAGATTGCTCATTTGCCTTTAATATTAATGTTCTCTCCATCTACTCTTAAACAGTTTAGTTTAAGACATATTTTTTGGATAAATTCAGAGGTCCTCCCTCTTTCTTATCCTTACCAGTATTATATTTGTCTATGAAGTCAGACAATTAAGTTCACAAATTCATCCTAGAAAAAGGGCTACATGCCCCATTCCTAAAGATCACTGTGGTAACATTCTACGTACTCCCCTTGGGAAGCTATACACTCATGCCAGCACCTAGCCAACCCTTCAAAGCACTTTTTCTAGGATGAGCTCATGAACTTAATTGTACAGTGATAGCTCTGATGGTCATTACTGAAAGAGTTCCAAAGTTGCTTAAAGGGTGGACTAGGTGCTGGCATTGGTGCATAGCTTCCAAAGGGGAGGACTTCAAAGGTGACCATGGTGATATTCAGCAATGTAGCACTTTTTCTAGGATGAATTTGTGAACTTAGTTGTCCAGACTACCTATATATGAGAACTTGCCTGAGCTGGTGGTGGTAGGGAGAGGGAGGACTAAGATCTTTCATATTGCCCTCGGTTCCTGTCTTTGCTGCAAACTGGCAAGTTTGTGTCTGGTAAGCTGCACTCATGTTCACAAAACAAAAGGGAAAATCACGCATGTGCACACACATACATTTCGTTAACATCCCTGATTGACTTACAAGTGCTTAATTAAGTAGGTTCTATCACCATTTCATAAAAGAGGAAGCCAAACTTAAGAGACAAGGTGTCACACTATAATCTTTAAACTTGTAAGTAGACTAATTAGGATAAAAATAGGTAATGTTACTACTGCGGCCGGATTAGCTGAGTATGATTTTACCTAGTGCTTCATAGGGAGAATGTTTTATAGGGAGGACATCAGGAAGTAACTTTTTCTCCTTATCATCAATATCCACAAGGTATAGAAACCTTTCTCTTCTGGGGCTCTTAGGAGTGTTCAGAACCATGAGCTAAATTGTCAATGTATGACACCAGCTGTAGTGTGTGTCTTAGTTCATCGGCAATACTATAAAGAAAATACTGACGTCTGGGTAATTTATAAAGAGGCTTATTTGGCTAATGTTTCTGCAGGCTGTATAAGAAGTTTGGCAGCAGCATCTGCTCCTGCTGAGTCCTTCAGGAAGCTTCCAATCAGGGCAGCAGGTGAAAAGGGAGCAGGCGCATCACCTGAAGCTGACAACAAGTTGATGTCAGTTGAAGCTGATCCACTCCCATGACCTAGACACCTCCCTCTAAGCTCCACCTCCAACACTGGGGATCAGATTTTGATGTGATACTTAGAGGGGAAAGATGCCTAAACTACATCAGTTTGTCTTTCGAAGTTGCTGGGTAGTTTCTAGAAGCACAGATAAGTGTCACTGCAAAGTGGAAGATGGGTTAGCATTGGGAATTTGTATTTTCCCTGAATAGCCACCGCAGGGCTAGCTCACAGGTCAGTCACCTTTTGTTTAGCAATCAAAGGTTAGTCACCTCATATTCAAGTTGGATGACATTTTTCATGGTTCTTCAATTCTTCCCTTTCCAGCTTGTGTGATCTTCTCTGTCTCTTCTGTTTTTTTCTTAGTGTCCTGGTTATCTTGTCTTTCCAAGTGAATATATTTCCTCTGAAAATTTATAATGAAATCTTTGAGTCCTACACCAAATACTCATGGCCTCCCTCCTCCTCTTCTTTGTCTTCCTTCTCATTCTCCTGTGGAGGATTCAGCTGTATTTGATCAGTCTGAAGGAATGGCAGAAGTCCTTGGTGTTTAGTTGAAAAAAGCATAGGAAGACAGGTGGAAATGTACAGATTAAAACATGTGTTGCCTGCCACAGAGGAACTGTTGGCATGGTCATTCTTCAGATGCAGAAGCTGAGTGTGAGCCTGGTTAAGTAACTCACCCAGAGTTCCCCATGTGGTGTTAGAGCTGAGACTCTATCCAGGTTGGCCTAATCGTAAGCCTCTGTTGTGGAGGATTGAGGATAACAGGATGGAGAAAGGAGGTTGAGGCCCATGAGAAGACCAGGGTCAGGATATATGATGGTGATCCCAAACTAGAAACCAAGGTTTCTTCACCGCAGTTCTTCAAGAACCAGTCTTATTGACAATTTGTCAGGTGAGTGATTTTGTCTGAAATAAATAGTGGGAGAATCCCTGTGCTATCTCAGCCTGAGTTGTGCTTTGTATCAATGCTGGGGACCCTTTCTTTCCCCCTCACTGAAAGTCTCAGGGTGAAATGCCAGGTTCCGAATTTCTTGTACACCCTGGAAGGGAGGCAGGCAATCATGCTTTGACGTTTTAAACCAAAGTATCACTTTTTCTTAAAGATATTTAACCATATATAAAAACTCAGAGGCATCTGTTCTGTTTGTTTTTAGACAGAGAGGGCCAAAAGGGAGAACCCAGTGAGATAAAGGCAAAGGAGCATAGTGATGTGGTTACATGGAATTTGATGTAGAGAATTTTAAAATAAGGAATACAAGGCATGAGGCAGAGGTAAAAACCCCAGAGAATCTTTGCCTCGTGTGTTTTAGATGAACACGCCACATCTTGGTGGCATGTGATTTGTCCATAGGGTCAAGTTCACCCCTCTGAGGCCTCTGTATGAAGCAGGAGCTGAACGGAAAAGAGACTGGGAAGGGGAGTCATATGAAAAGGGCAAACAAGTCCATATATATCAAGGTGGTATTAAAAATGTTGCATTTAATAACCAGTTAAGTACACTGCAATTTAGAGTACAACACTGGGGAAAAGCAAGGAGCAAGGAGCTTGGAGCTCCCACATGGGTATGAGGCGTCAACTGACCATGCTGTCAGGGCCTCATTTTTTGTGCTGGGATCCAGCCTAACCCTGCAGTGGTCTGTGATCTTCAGGGGTTCTCCCATTTCGAGGCAGCCCAAGCATCAGAGAGACACAGGGGCTCAGACTACAGTAATTTACTGTCCAAAATGGAAGTGTTTCAGTGTCTAAAAATGGATTTGGCTTCACTAACAGGTACCAGTTCAATATGAACCCCAAGCATAAGATGAGGAAGGTTGCAGAAGAAATACTGTTAGTATGTATTTTTATATACCTTGACAAAAGTCTTCAGTTTAAGATAAGATTTTGGAGATCTTCCTGGCTTGCAAAGTACTTATAGGTCAGTAACTTTTGCTCATCTACTTCTTAAATTTAGAAGAAGTGCAAACATTCTGTAGAGTTTCTAGCTTCCTGTTGTTCTGTTAAAATATTCTAAAACTGTTCTTGGAAAAATTATTGCATTGGAAAGTTATTGCAATAAAAAATTTGAAATTGAAGAGAACCTGTACACAAAGCCAGATGTTCCTGAATATTCTATAAATTGTAGGCAAGTGTGCCATCACTCTGGTTAGTAGTGAATTCCCTGATTCTGTAGCCATATCAGCAAGGAAAGCAAAAAGAGGAGGCAGACTGTATTTTAGTTCTTAGCACATGGCCAAGGCTGAGGGAGCTGTCTTCCATCTGTAGCGACGCTCCTTAACAGTAAGCTGGCACAGTAAACACTCAGGCTTTAGATCTTCATCTAAAACTGACCTATGTAAGTGATCTTATGACTCCGTTAGTGTGGTTATTAAAAGAGTGACCAGAATTGAAGAGTTTCTATTCTAAATTTAATCCTTTTAGTTGTAGGGGACATAAAGTAATATCTTTTCTTCACCCATCACTAGGTTCATGGTTGAGATCCCTATACCAAAATCCAGGTTAACAAGAGAATAAAATAAAAATTTATTTAATATAAATTTTATGTAGCACAGGAAGTTCTCAGAAATGAAGACTCCAAACCCAAGGAAAACTATCACTTTTATGGACAGTCATTCAGAAGGATGATTGGAGAACAAAAGGGTATCATCTAATGGTAATAAACTGTGGGGCTTGTCCAGATTCTTCTTTGAGTCCCTGTGTAATAGTTCTTCCCTCTAGGCAGAGAGGAGGACATTATGATGTGAAGATCTTTAGGGGAGAAAGGAAGGAGAAAGTCAGAGACTGACCTTTCTAGGCTTCCTGGCATGGTTTGGGGAAGAAGGAGGGAGAGTTCTGGTTCTGTGGTTTCCTTCAGGGTAGAAAGAAGAGAGAGGAATTTCAGTTTCTGTGGTCTACTTCAAGTGAAAATGGGCAGGAGAAGTTGAGTGAGATCTTTGTCTTCTGGTTCTCTCAATTTCCTTTAGCTAGAAATACTCAGGATGCCTCAGTGCCATATTTTGGGGTAGTGTTTCTCTCATCCCATCGTCCTCATCAGGCATGGGCCAGGTCAGGCCTGTCCTAGATTTTCACTGGCCCCTTGGACGTGGCTTCTCATACACATTGGGATCAGTTAGAGCTTCTCCTGTGTGTCCCACCTAGCCAGTTGTTTTGTGTGTACCAAACCTGTGTTATTAACAGAGGCCCAAAGGGGTGCTCTGAGGTAT